GCAAGCTTGCAGAATATGCTTAGCTTGCAGCCAGCTTTGCAGTGGCATCAGCAGGTGCTTGTAATTTCCTATAAGAAAATGCCAAAACAGATCTCAAATCATGTATCAGAAAGTACTGCCACAACTGTTCATGTGCCCTGACTTAAGCCTTCACACCTCTGTCTGGGATCTAAATAGTTAATCTACCTGAGCAAATGGGTAGGAGCCTTTCTTATTTCAATAAAGTTTGATTCCTGGAGGCAGATCTTTTTTTCCAGTGAGTGTCAGATAATTGGAAGGGTAGGGTGAGGCAGGAAACCACGACACGCCTTTGTTGGGACTTGTTAAAGAGCACGGGAATAGAAGAGCAGAAGAAGAGTGAGAATAAACCAGGTTAAATAAAGAAGAGGTGAACATTTTTGGATGATCACTCAGATTCCGCACACCTTTGGAAGGACATGATATAAAGTGAAGGTGGCAAATTTTTGGTAGAAAGGAAGCAGTTGAGGAGAAAAACAGATTTTCAGTTCAGTAACCAAAGCACTCCAGGTAAGTTACATTACTAATAAAAAAAGCAAAAAAGCAGAAAAAGGGATCCTTTTTTTTCTGTCTTCCAGATTCCTTTAAGAACAAGGCAAAATAAAGGAAGTGTTACTTTTTTTCTATGAGGAATGCAATATAAAAATAAGATTGTGTAAGAGCTGGGTCATTTCGGTTTTCTGTTTGTCAGTGAATACTACTCTTTTAAAGTGAGTATCTATCCAGTGAAAGGAGTGTACCTGCTGGGAGATAAGAAATGTGAAGCCAACCTATGGGTACATTTTTAATGCATTTTGTGAAACTACTGTAAAATAGATACAGTTTAGCTGAATGTTCTCTGTTCTATAAGGGTACCAGCATGGTGAATACAGATCATCTGTTGGCTGTTTTTAAAACTGAGCAGATCTGGAATGTGCTGGAAGAGTAATGATTGTAAATTTGAGCTTCAGATGGTGGCTACAGGGTATAATATTAAGTAAGTAAACTGCTTTTGAGTGAAAGTTTGTGTTGCCATGGACAAACTTTGCTTTGTCTCAAACAGGTGGGTTTATTTATCAGCAGTGAGTCATTTACTATGGACTTTGTGCCATATTTTTGTCATAGAAGATTATGAAGCACTGTAAGGTGGTTTTGTCACAATCAAGTGAGATAAGTCTGATTTGAGAATCAGTTTGAATCCTTCCTACAGCAGGTCTATCAATTTGAACATAGTGGCATAAAGTGAAAGACTTGTCTTCTTTTCCTGTATTCAGACTGACTTGTAGAGTGACTTTGGGAAAGTTACTTGTCCTTCTGTGAGTAGCTGCTTCATCTGTGAAATGGTGAAAGCAGCACTTTCCTGTTCTGCAAACACTTTTTTGATTAATACTGGGTTGTTTGTCTTCCTTTCTGTGCCAGAGCCAAGAAGTTGTGCAGGTCAGAATGGCCTTGCTTTGGCCCCTTTCTCTTTGAGCAGCTCAATTAAGTAGGGACGGTGAGGACATGTTTTTGAAAGGAAGGCATCTGGCAGAACAGAGGGATGTCTGGGCAGCACTTGTTGCTTGTGCTCTGAGATATGAGCACATATTGGTGTCAAAGAAGCCAGGAGAGGTTGTGGGCAGGGCAAAATTTGGTTCCTACAGCATGTCCAAGCTTTGGTTGGACATCTAGCCAGTTTCCCTGGCATTAACATCGTCCAGTGAGTCTACAAAATGAGCAGATTTTAGAAGCATGGTTTGGTTGATTCAATTCTAACTGTGTTGGTTTTGGTAAAATAACTTGAAAGGAACAGCTTTTAGAGCAGAATGAGAAAGTCAGATTCCTAGTCTGTGGGGTAAAAGAGAGATAAAAGGCTATTTTTTAAGCAATTCTATTAGTTCCAGGATAGTGACACCTGACAGGCTTGGTTAAGAGGAAGGGGCACCCTAAAAGACATTTGACATGATGAGAGACATAGTCAGTGGCATCATTTGGAGTCATCTACTGAGTCTCAGAGTATTCATGATCAAAGGGCTTCACTGACATTAAATATTATTAATCTCAACACTTGCTGGTGCCTCTTTCTCCTAATGGAGTGTCTCACAGCTGGAGCCTTATTAATGGAGAGAGGAGAGAGCTGAAAGGATGTGCTGTGAGTGCAACAGCATTCTGACATGAAAACTGGGAGGACATTGTGGAGGGATAAAAAAATCTGAAACATGCCTACTTTTAATTTTCTACTAAAATACATCCTTGTGGCTATTTACTTACCCTTTGAAAAATGTTTATAATAAACTTTATTACCATTTCAGCCAATACCTAAATTCTAAAATAATAAGAGGGGCTCAAATGCCCCATCTCAGCCTGGCTCAGTGCCCTTGCCAGTGTGTTGCACTCAGGCAAGTGGCACAGGGGGTGCAGGAGGCACCCTGCACTGTCAGGCTTTTGTGGAAAGCACATGCCTGAGCATGCCTTGCAATGCTGGGCAGTCGTTGCTGTCTTGCTTTCAGTGCTGTCCAGAGAGGAAGCAGAGTGCACAAGTGTGGCAGTGCCAGACCTCTCCTGCTTCCTAGTGCCAATAATGTCTGCAAGTTCCCTGTTTCTGGGGGTGCCACAAGCACACTACAACCACTGAGCTTGAAGTGACCATAGGGGTGCCCTGTCTTATGCTACCTGGCCTGTTTGAGAGTGATCCCACTTCACAAGTTCCTGCTTGTTGCTCAGGGATGATTGTAGTTGGCTTCTCTGATTCAACAGCGCTATTGCTTTCCACAGACATAGCCCACAGCTATGTCTTTGTGAATCCAGGTAGGAGCTGGTGAGGTGAGTCAGTCCTGGCAGATAATGGAAATCCATCTCAGTCAGCCTGCTGGAGCCTGGGCTGGCTTCTGCATCCATGTGGCAAACACACGTGCAACATGGATCGAAGTGTGCTGTGTGCTGGGGCCGGGCTGTGGCATGCATGGCTCCAAAGATGTGCTTTAACCTCTTGTAATTTTTTTTTTAGTTGCTATCACAGCAAGATATTCCCCTCTCTCAAGAGAAAGCAATAATGCAGAAGATGCATTCACTCCATGGTGGTGCTGGCCTCTTCCAGCATCCATGACCAACACCACCTCCCAGTAGCAGAGAGGAAGTGGAGTTCTGGGGCTACAAAGCAATAGAAAAGCAGTTTCCAAATACGAAACTGTGTTCCTTGCCAAAAACACTGACAAAGCCAACAGTGCTGACATCTAGATAAAAGCTTCTAGCATCTGTTCTTATGGAGAGAGCTTGAAAGATGCTTCCAGTGTTGATGCAGAAAGGAAGAGTAGCAAAGATATTGCCTTTCCTTGGAGGAACCCTTACCTTGCAGGGGACTGTCATCCTGCCGGAGGAGAAACTCTCCTAATGCATATAGCTGCAGTCTTGCATATGCCTTGGAATCAACACCCTGGATCATCCTCTGGAAGTCCACAGTGTTAGCAAGCACTGTGAGGATGGAGCAGCATTCTGCTGCCACCAAGGTTGTGTAAGGACTTGGATGTGTCCTCAGGAACCCCATTTACAGGGCTGTTTAGACAAGCTCAGGGTCAGCAGTGCACAGTGAGGGCTGTGGGCACTGTGTTGTTCTCTGCAAAGTTCAGCTGAGTCTGTCATAGGAGACTAAACTGTCTTGGCTGGCAGTGTGCCTTCCACACTCAAACTGTTCCTGTCCAGCTCTGGGAACAGCAGGAGCTGGCAAAGACACAATTGAATCTGAACATCAGATATTCCTGCAGATTCTCTGCTGCATCCTACCTTGTGTCATTATTTATACCTGGGCAGTACAAGCGTAACATCAAGGGGGCTACGCTTTCCAGAAGATTTAAGTGGAATCATGAGGATCAAATTCAAATGGTATCTGTACTGGGGGGCACAGTCTTGGGTTCTGCTTCAATATGAGCTTTAAAACTTGGAAGGAATTTCACCCAAAGCTTTTTTTTTTAGACTCAGCCTTTTAAGTGTGCAGGTTTTGCTACAGCTGGACCTTTAAAGGGGAGACTTCAAATGCAGTGAAGGGTTTTAGCCTCTTGTGAGCTTGTGTGTAAATTAAAACCTCTTCTCATGGTTTGTGGCTGCACAAGATGAAATATTATCTTAGAGAGATTAGGAGTGAGCAATTGTGTGGTTCCTTCTGACAGAAGCGTTTTCTCTTCTAGATGATGTTTCTTTTCCACAGTCATGTTTCCTTGTGGTATTTCTGCCTTGGCAGACAGTCATACCTCTACTAGAGATTATAATTTTGATTAGAAAGGGGTCCAAGTCATGAAAAAGAGTGTACACAGCATTCACAGCATTTATTCCAACACTTCGTAACTGACCTGAGCTGGCATTAAATTAGATCAGATCCCAAAGCCACAGACGGGGTCCCCAAACTGTCGCTGCTCTGCCTGTAAAGCAAGATAAAGCACTTCCTACCCAAGTTCCTTGCTGCCAAAAATAGCTAGTTTAAAGGTACATCCAATCAGTGCTTTGGCTTTAGGATCAAAGTACCATGAGAATGCCGTGATACTGTTGACAGATCAACAGTATCTCTGCCTAGGTTTTTCTGACAGTACTGGCAGAGTGCAGGTAACTTACTTCTGCAACTGCCTGCACAGCTAATCCTGTACTGTTGAGTCCTGCTCAGAGCAGTTATGTGGGAGTAATGTTTGAATCCTGTGGTTTTCATCAAACCTTTATAGGGGCACAGCTGGAGACCAAAATCTGGATATGAATCCAGGTCTAAACTCAGTCACTGAGTGGATTTGCTTCAATTGCCCCTGTCTCACCTGTTGGCTTTACAATCCCTCCTGGTGTTTCAGTGTCCAGTGTTGCAGGTGCTGGTCTATTAGTAATAATCATATGGCTCTGGAAGGGCACTGTGAACTCCCTTGCACAGATGTCTTCCAGGCAGTCTAGTTTCCAGCTGAAGGAAGCAAGTGGCACTTGCAAGTGGGGAGCTGTTGTCATTTCCTACTGTTCACAGAGCTTTGAGTGCAGTCTCTCTGTTTTCCTTGCAGGTGGCAATGATATGGATTCTGTAACAAAGAAAACAAGGCAAGATGGATCAGAAGTTACTGAAAGACGTAAGGAGGAGATTTTTAATTTTTGTATCACACTCCAGAAAACCCAGAAGTGGATGGTCAGTTTTGTAAGGGGTTGAATGCTGATGAGAGGACCAGAACTAAATTCTGCTTCTGACTCTGGTCTCTCTGCTGAAGTCACAATAAGGAATAGAATGGGCCAAGATCAAACATTTAGAGATGTGTATCACAGCCTAATTGTTTAACCAGATGATTGCCTGTGGTAGCATTTCTAGCCAGTAGCATAGACATTTGGATGCTGCTTCTACCTCTGATATCAATGCCCTGTGTAACCTAGAACATGTTCTTTAGATATCTCTTTGGGGCTTCGTATAAAACAGAGGCTAATTTCCTGCTGGCCATATGGGGATTAACTAGTAGGAATCTAGTAAGGGGTCTGACCATGGGCTTTGTGGTTACAGCCATGGCTGTGGTTCAGAAGTGCCCAGAGATAATAATAGTTCCATGTTTTACAGGGATCTTGCAAAGACAAAAATCTTTCATGACAGTGATGTTCTTAGAGATAGAAAGACCTGCGAAGAAACACAGAGCGTTGTGTGCTAATGCAACCACAGTCCCCTGGCAGGTGTGGTCTTAAGGGACTTTTATTTAAATGAGTTGATCTTCTTTAACTGAGTCATGCTTCTGCATGGCAAATAAGTAGAACATTGATCTAGTTTGGCTATATTAACATGCACCCTTTTCTTCCCTCAGTTATTACAGAGACTGTAACCACAAGACTGACGTCCTTGCCACCCAGTAAGTAATTTTCAGTCATTGCATTACTTCTGCTCAGTGTTCGGTGCCTCTCTATGCTATTTGTCTGCATTATATCCTTTATTTCCACAAATCCCTGGATGCAGCAGGTCTCAGTGCATAAAGATTTGCACTCAGAGAAAAGCAATTTTCAGAAAAGCCTTTCCCAAAATACTGGTTACTGTGGAGAAGGAAGAGTATGTGGGGAGCTGTCTGGGTATTGTCAGAAGCAAATCCACATACTCCACTAAGACTGGTAGACCAGACTCTCCATGGATTTAAGTCCAGATATAGAGTCTCCAGTGGTGACTGTATTTTGGGAACAAGAATCAAAAGTGATGGGTCTGCAGCCTCCTCTGCTGGGGCTGCAATGTATTATTCTCCTGTCATCTTACCCAGTTGACAACAGTGAGTGAATCTTTTTGGGTAATATCAGAGGTCACAGGTCATTTCTACCTCTGTAGGGAAGTACAAGTACCAAGTAGGGAAGAATCCTCCATACTCTTTATCCCACCATGTTCTTTATTAGCTTGCTGCAGCTGAGTTGGAAAGGAATTGCACTATCATCCCATTTATGGTGAGGGTTAACAGAAGTATCCTTCAGTCTGTGTAGGGAGCAAAACTTTACAAAGTTTTGTTTTTGCTTTTGCCGCTCCACTGGGTGTGGAGTGGGAATGCTTGTCTGCTCTGCCAAGACACTTCCCTGCAGCTCTGATCTCTCACCAGACATGAAGCTGTACTTGTAATTGAGTGTGTGGACAGCTTTGGGTCCCTCCTGACTTGTCTTGCAGTGTCTTTGCTATACTTATCTTCTGCCTTGAGAGAATGTCTCATTTTGTGCTCATGTCTTTCAGAAGGAGGGAGCAGCAGTGGGCTCAAAACATCATCCCACACTGGAGGGAGTGGAGTGGAAAAGAGGTCTTACACCCATGGCAGCAGCTACGTGACCTCAAGTAAGGAATGAAATCATGGCACAGTGAGGAAACAGAGGGCAAAGGCAGCATAAATGGGCTGAGGAGAGATGCAGAGCAGGGAAGTGGGATGAGCCAGAGGTAAGGAAAACAAGATTTGTGAAAGTAGAAGTGCCAAACACATACTCAAAGCAGAGGTATTCCTTCCCTAAAGTTGTGTTTGAGGATGGGTGAGTAAAGGACAAAATTCCCATTTTCCACAGAGAAAAACCTAATTTCAGGAGAATAACAACAAAAAATGCCATTCCCACTGTTTCTAAGAAGTCATTCAGAAACTGAATTTTCCTTCTTACATTTTTTTGCAAATCACAATCTTTCTGACCATTTCTGTTCTAAAGACAGTTTTGATTAATCTTTTTATTGGTCTTGCTGAGGGTAGAATGTTATTAAAGAATTTCCTAGAAAAGGTTTTCTTGTGTTTGTGTGTCCATGGCTTTAGCACTTTGTACAGTCTGCCAGATTTTCTAGACATGCTAAATCATTATGTGCTGCCTACTCCATGAAAACAGGGTTCTTCTCTGACAGCATTCTTTGCCCAGCTGTTAGATTGTCATAGCAAAAGTTTCTAAATAACAAGGTTCCCAGCTAGGTATCTGACTCACCTCTCTGTCCCCTGTTACAGAACAAAGCAAGTCCTTGTAGAGGGGAAAGTTGGCAAGAAAACACTGTTGGATACACTCTTATTGTAGGGATGGGTAAACAATATCCAGTCTGATCCCGCTGATCAGCGTGGATAGGTTGCCCCTTATTACAGGGCTCCCTTTTTGCTGCACTCTGATCATACTCCAGCATTAGATTTCATACAAGAGCATGAACACAGTTATGGCTGCTCAGTTCTTTCTCCATAGCACTGATGTGAATTAGGAGGGAAACTCTTTCCTCTGTCTAAACGTAACAGCTACTAATCACCTCCAGGCTGCCTTGGCCCTGATGCACACCTCAATCACTTTTCTAGAAAATGGGATGACTAAGGCATGTCTAAATGTGAGTGTGGATAGTTGTTTTGGAAGGGAAGTGGACTCATCTCTACTTTCCCTTATCTCGTGAACTGCATCCTTCAGCACTTTGAGTTTGGCTTAACAGTCTCCAGGTTTTGTAGCCTGTGTCATGTACCACTTGAGTTTACAGATGGATCTACATCCAAACCAAAACCCAGCACCATTCAGAGCTAGATTTGTTCATGCTTAAGGGAGATGGCTCACTCATCCCCCTAGGCCAAAACCTGCTGTTGTATATATCATTGACAAGATTTGTTTTGAAACCACAAAGATAACCAACACTCCTCTCTGCACTGAATGCTGGAGACAGCCACAGTTAGACCCAAATGTTGTTCTTGTCCATCTCTAGTTGTGAGGTCCCAATGCAAATCTGTCCAGCTCAGAGACTCAGGGCATCCAGTGTGTAGAGCCAAGGGCTTATCAGTCACAGTCACAGCTGTGACTTATCTTGCTGAGGGCATGTTGTTTTAACTGTAGGTGGAAGTGGTAGATTGAATTCAACATCATCATCCTCTGGCTACAGACAAGCCCAGTCTCCCAGCTCTACTCTCACCAAATCACCTGGCTCGACATTTGAAAGGAAAACCTATATCAACCGCCATGCAACTTATGAAGGTACCACAGAACACGCTGCAGAAAGTTGTCCATGTGTGCTGCACTCCAAGGGCACATTAATGCAGAATTGTCCCCAATAGCACAAGAATCCCATTGTGGTTTTGCTGGGAAATAAGCCAGCAGGGACACATTGTAATTATTAAGTCCTGTTTATAGTAATGCTCATTCCTAAAAGGAGTTGTGGTATATATTGTTGAAAGACATTAGCAGCTCTTTCATGTGATCCTGAATAGCTCTTTTTTTAAAATGGAAATGTTTGTTGCCTGCTGGGGTTAGACAGTTGGCAGGAAGACATGTTTTGAAAGCTTTTAATGATCTTGTGCAAAGTATTAATGAACACATTTCTGTTCTTTGCAGGGAGCTCCAGTGCCAACTCTTCTCCTGAGTTTCCCAGGAAAGATTTTGGTATGTTCTTTTTAGAGCTGTTCCTCTGAATGTTGTGGCAAGGTCATGTGAGTTGGTGACTACCAAGGCTTTTTGCACATTGCTATGACTTGCTGTACCTGTGCTGTCTCTGTACTGGGCAGTCAGCACAGCTCCATGACTTCAGAGGAGTTATTTGGGACTTATTAACAACTGACAGCCAGGTCTGTAGCTGACACATATTCAAACGGAGGGTGCATACTGTGTATCTGCTACTCTCAACTGCCTTTGTCATGCTCCCCATATGACATAGGACATGGACAGGAGAACATAGTCATGGGATACTTCATAGCATTCCCTCCATCCCCACCCCCTACCAAACTGGGAGAATAACTGCAAGCAAGAACAGACTCTTAGGATTTTGAGCCATTGCTGGATATGCTCTTCCAGTTGCTCTTTTCCAGAGTTCAGTGAGTATAATATATGGAAATATGAACGGGCTATCAAGTCATACAGTTACACTGAACATTGGCAGCAGGTGTGAGCTTGCCCTGTCCAAACTCTGAGCTGCTGATTTTACTCAGTGAAGACAGTGAAACATTATGATCAGGCTATTTTTTTGACTCAGAGAGGAAGCAGGGTTTCACAGCACGCAGTGTTGGTCAGTGGGGTAAACAGGCCTATTAGATTCCTTTTTTCTATTTGAAATGAGAGATCACCATCTATGAACAACATTTCTGTGTAGAAAAAGAAACAGCAGATAGTCCAAAAATGCTAAATATGCTACTGATTCTTCAAGGTATCTTATGGTCTAAAGGGGACCTGGTAAAAACTCTAAGAGTTCAATTGCCCCAGCTGTGCCCCAAGAGAAGTTACTGTCTGAATCTGAGCACTCAGAGCAAGATTGGTGTGTTGCCTTCCAGAGATGTCACAAGCAGTAAAGACTAACACTGCTTTTTTCTCATTGCTGTTCACAGCATCTACCTCCACAAGAGGGAGAAGCCAAAGTCGAGGTGAGTGACACTGTTCTTTGAGAAAGCTTCTTTTTTTTTCTTCAGTGTAATTCAGGTGTGTTAAATGGACCCATTCTTTAGCTGGAATCTATCGGTCCATGTAGAGCAGTCAGATGAGGTACGTGGATTTACACCACTGCAGATGTGAGCCATTTATCTGTAAGCAGTTGTTTAAATGAACCTGGTGTGAAAATTGACCCTATTGAAGGTCGTGGTGGTTTGGAGTGTGTCAGAAAGGAGGATCTACTTGGGAACCTGGACATCTGAGGGCATAGGACATAGTCTTCCGTCTTGTCTGTTCACTACAATAAACTTAGTCCATCCATGCTCTGGGACCTGCCTCTGACATATTTACAGTAATTGCATTCATGTTTCTCCCACTGTGATCTGTCTTGCAAACCATAAGCCATACCCTGAAATGATATCGTGCTGCTGGTAAGGAGATGGGGAGGAAACTGTGGAGTTGCTGTGGTCTGTGTAGGCAGCTCACTGTAAAGCTCTGCATTGTTTAAATCATTCAGTTCTTCTAATAATTTATTAACAGTGTTGGGGAAAGAAGGATTATATTAGTTTGTAAGAGTGTAATATCTGTTCCCAGTTGGTTGAAGAGGAAATTATAATGTTACTTTATCCAACTTAATTTTAGCAGTGGATATAAATCAAAGCATACTCTTGCACACTGCTCCTGCAGAGTGTCACATTTCCCAATTATTCTGCCTTAGATTGTCACAGTCTCCTCTAGCACACTACATACCTGAGCTCCCATCAGAACTAGGCCATACATAATAGAGCAGACACCAGAGAATCAGGTCCAGCTTCTCATATTACTTCAGGAAATAATTCTAATCCATCAGCTTCTCCACATGAATGCCAAGATAGTGTTTCTTTTATAGTGCATGCACTGTCAGATTTCATCTTGAGGAGCATGTATCACATGTCCTGGCTACTTTGCTTGTGGGAAGCAAGCTTAAGGGGTTGCCCCAACCAAATCACATTAACTTTGTAGTCTTTTGTGCTGGACAGAAAAGGTCAGTAATGGTGTTGAGTGCCTGGTGATAATGTTGGCTTAAAACTGGTCTGATTACATTCAGTGGGCCAAAAGAGAAATCAGCACATGATAAGAGACTAAACCATACAGCCCATTGCAGAGATGGCAGTGTGAATTTTACCCAAGAAGTAATAGGAAATTTGTGTATTTAATAAGCTTCTTTTGGCTCTATAGTTTTTTCTTCAAAACAAGGACAACAAAAATAGTATTTATGTTGAGTGGGGATATCAATGTGATTGAGGACTGCATAATTAGACCTTCAATATATCTGGCGGTAACAGCAGTATTGACTTCAACAGAGGCCATCAATGAGTAAAATATAGCTGCCTGGAATTTTAAGTAACAAACTGTGACCCCAAAACAAAAAGTAACCCAAACCAATTTACAACCAATTCACATGGGCCATGAGCAGTGCTCAGATCAAGCAGCAAGACAGCAAGATGGATCATAAACAGCAAGAAGGAAGGCATTCATTTCAGCCTGAAGATTCATTCCCAGCCCAGGGCACAAATGTATCTCACTCCATATTCATGATCTGCTCTTTATCTTCCCAGAGAGTGAAATACGAGTCCGGCTGCAGAGCGCATCTCCCTCTGGCAGATGTAAGTGCCATGGCTTTTATTCCAGGGGTATCAGGGATAAGATAGAGGATGTTGCTGCTAGGGATATGTCTGCAGTGTCTCTGGAACCCAATCTTCATGATGACAGATAGCAGCATGTCATTCTCTTTTTCCTGTCAAGAACATTAATTTTTCTCCCCTCTCTGAACAAGGAAGCATGCTGTGGGTTAGGTGGTGGTCTTGCAAAGATGTAATTTTACTTAGTCCCAGAAGCAAGGCTGTAAAAGTACTTAGTCCCAGAAACAAGCCTCTGAAGCTTTGTTATTAAGTGGCACCCCCAGAAAGTAACAACTTCATAGATACTCAGGTAAATTCCACTGAATGATTTATCCAGAGCAAGATTACAGATCAGTGAAACAATGGCTTTTGGGTGACTCTGGACCCTTGCTTTTCCTGCCAGGGACAGAGTTGGATGATGTGAAGCGTTTGCTGAAAGGAAGTCGATCAGCCAGCTGCAGCCCCACACGATCACCATCAAGTACACTCCCGATCCCAAAAAAGGCTGTGGTGGAAACAAAGATGGTCACTGAGAGCTCTCAGTCAGGTACTTGGCTGTTACCAATGTTGCAGTAATTCCAAAAAGTATTTGCCCTAAAAAATACTCAGTTGCTAAGAACATTCAGGTAAGAATACATGATCTCTGTTCCAGACAGAGGCAACAATACAGGAAAAGGGTCAGAATGCTGAAAGACTGTCCAGATGTTGCCATAACAAGATAGGGTAGCTTTCTAGTGACTAGTCTAAGTTCCATGAATATAAGCCCATTCCTACTGCTACCAGGTTTAATTCAGAGGTATTTCTGACAGAGATAAGAGCTCTAAGTGAATATATCTGAGAGTGATTTGATCTCTTATCTCCAAGCAAGATGGAGATAGCAACGAAGACAAAATTTCAGTGAGTGTTGGATTTATTGGCAACACCACTTGATAATAACTCATTAGGAACTGTACTGTCGGAACAAGGGGGAATGGCTTCAAACTGAAAGGGAGTAGGTTCAGCTTAGATGTTAGGAGGAAATTCTTTACTGTGAGATTGGTGAGGCAGTAGCACAGGTTGCCTAGAGAAATTGTGGATGCCCCAGTGTTCAAGGCCAGGTTGGATGAAGCTTTGAGCAACCTGGTCTAGTGGAAGGTGAATGATCATGCTACCAGGTCAGTCTTTATTCCATTGGTTAAAATTTGGGTGGGCTGTAATCAGCTGACATTTGACATCAGTTACACCACATTAACCTGGAGTCATTGTGTTGATTCCATGAGGGTGATTCAAATTTAAGGCAGATGAAATTGTTTGCCATATAAATCTGCAATGCATGCTAAGCCACAAGCCTGGTCTCATTGAAAATACTTCTGTTTGTTTGTTTACAGTGTCAGGGACATATGATACAACCATACTGAATACTGCCCTCCCTTCATACATGTGGTCCTCCACTCTGCCTGCTGGGTCTTCCCTTGGTGGATACCATAACAGCTCCTCCTTGATCAACGCCATGTCTCACTCCACAGGATCAGGTATGGACAATCCCAACCTGGACTGCCTAGGTTTGAAGGATATAACTCTACCCTGAAACTGGGTCAAAAGCAGTGGTTGTTTTTTTTTTCCCTGCAAGAACTAAAATGATGGAAGAATTGAGATGGCAAGGGATATGCTTGAATTTTTCCTGATTTTTTTTGTAATTTGATGCTCTCTTCTTTTACACTGACTGTATCTGAAAATCCTTCTTTGTGAAGATCTATTGTCCTGACTGTCTGACTGTTGCTAAATTTGATGATAGTTTTATCAATGAGGTCAAGCTCACATTCCCCTTAAAAATTAGTTTCAGACTCTAATTAAATTGGATTACCTGGCCCATTGTAAGAATGACTCATACACTGAAAATGTTATAAGTAAGAGTTGAGTGTGCTTATACCTGGTAAGGCCCACTTCTAAATGCTGCATTTCCCATCTCCGGAGAAAAACCACACAAACCTTTGTCATGACATATTGTTAAAAGTTTTGCTTTCTCTCACTGTCACATGATTGCAACTTGTTTGAGGTAAGAGTTTTTCCCGTTTGTCAGTTCAATAAAATAGTGGTTTGTTGTCATAGTTTTCAAGATTTTTCCTCTTTGTAATTATTATGCGTTTTCAGTTATTGCATTTCCAAGTTGAATCCTAATTTCTGTGACTGTGCCACTGAGCTTTGGGTACTGGATTTCTTATTTCAGAGAAGTAATAACATTTCACTTCCTCTTTTTGCAGTTTTTGGTGTTCCAAATAACCTGGCTCCCAGCAATCATACTCTGAATGCAGGCCTGAGCTCTTCCTCTACAGGTCAGATTTTTCTTTTCTTCTCTTCAAACTTTGACAGCAACACATTTCTGGCAGACATGTACAGTGAAATAATGCCTATATCCCAGTTTCTCTCCTGTTCCTCATCTCAGTGTCAGCAGCTTGTCTGCACACCCAGTTATTCAGTTACAGTGGGTTTATTCTGAGTTCGCTCAGTCTAGCTCCTGTCTATTTTTGTCTGGGAGGCAGGGAAAAGTAGAGATTTTCCAAGGAGAATCATTTGTCTTTTGAAAGACACCTGTTAGGGCAGCCTGTTTCTTCCCTAGAACAACTCAGAGCAATGCTTTAAAAAACAAACTCCTATGTCCTAGTCCATAAAGGCCCACTGCTTTTCTGTCAGTTTTCCCTGTAATTTCCCTTTGCTTCACCTGGCTCATGGCTTCTGGCAGACTCTTGTCAATGTCACTAAACCACTTTTCTGCCTTTCACAGTCACACACGCTATGTCTGCACTGCACAGTGCCATCATGCAGGGTCTCTGACTGCATGATGAGCAGGGTGTACAAGAGCAGTCTATACAGTGATTCTGACACCAGAGGGGCTACCTTCCAAGCTGTTTGCTTCTCTCTGGGCAGTAGTTTGAAATATACAGTGGGCCGTGCTGGCTCTGCTGATCCCTGAATGTCTCTCTCAGGCTGGGTTTCTATGATTCCATAGTAAGTGTGTTTGAGAAGTGGAGAGGTCATTCAACAAATCACTCCCATATGTGATTGAATTCCAGATGTTCTCCATTTCTGGTAGCAGTTGCTTCCCTGCTAGTAAAATACACATCTCTAAAGAAACCTAGTGATGTGCACAGCTCTCAGCTTCAGTGACCACTGTGTCTCTCACAGGGTGCTCATAGTAGTGGCAACCCCAATCACAATGTGACTACCTATTTTAATGAACCAAAGTGGTTTTGAACTCACACTCATCTCCTCTTCTTTATCACCTTTTATCAATATTCCAGGAGGAACTGTCTTGAGCTCCCAGGGAGATGACATTTTACGCAAAGACTGCAAGTTCCTGCTGCTGGAGAAGGAGAATGCCCCAGCAAAGGAGATGGAGCTCTTGGTCATGACAAAGGACAGTGGCAAAGTCTTCAATGCCTCTGCCACTGGGCTTAATGGAGGTAACTTCCTTCTTTTGGGACATGTGTATATTCTGAGGGCAGAGAAGTAGAGGGAAGTTCTGGCAAGCAGTTCACCTTTAACCATGTCAGCTGCAATCTGGGTCTAGCTTTTGCATTTGAAGCACCAGAGCATGCTGTGGATATTTCACAAAGCTCAGGAGCTTTGAGAGCAAAAAAACTAGATCTGGTTTTATCAGGCAGAGCTATTGTGTCTTCCCAATAAAAATATGCATTTTACCAATGAAAGAAGATAGGCCTGGTTCAACTTCTGATGTAATGTTTTTAATTATATTTGATTCCTATTCAGGATCCTTTGCAGATGATACCTTGAAGAAGGAGAAGCAGGGATTTTCCTCCTCTTACGCTACAGATACTGGCCTAAAATCAGATGTAAATGGTAAGAGTTTGTCTCTGTGGAAATGCAATATAATTTTTTCCTTTTGTCTCCATTACTACCATTCCCTTTCAAGCCCCTATTCTAAGTTTTGCCATGTAAAGAAAGAGTAGTAAAATCTCTTTTACTGTTGTTAAAACAGGAGGACTGAAATCCATGCCAAAAAGGGACAAAGAAACTTATGCAGGTAAGTGACACAACTCAGACTTTCACTGAAAGAAGCACCAAAACACAATATACAAAAAGCAACTGTTCCTGAGGGACATGGGTGATCTCTGTGCAATGACATCAGAGGGAGGAAATATTCAGGAGGCTACCAGAGAAATTGGTACCAGTGATTTGATTCTAGATGAGTGGGCAGTTGGGGTATTTTTTTTATTGCTAGAGAAAATCAGATAGCAGACAGTCCAGCTGCATCCTGGTACCAGGACAGATTTCTGGGGAAAAGAGGGCTCAAACAGACCATGTTGGCTATTGTTGTAATTTTTGCCTCAAATCTGTCCAAAAGATTGACCCCCAAGCAGATAATTTTTTTCAGCTGTTATTTTAAAATGCACTGAGTGTTGTCTCCTGTTGGAATTCCCTTTGGAAATACTGTTCCTGGCTTCCACAGGGATTAGAATTACACTCACCATGTGTGGAATGTGGTGTAAAGATTTTTCTCCCTAGCCTTTTGTATAATGGATTAGAACTTGGTATCCTTATTGTAAGAGATTCTTAACTCTGAAGTCAAGGAACTCTTCATTAACCAGGAGACTGCTCCTTCTCTCTTCCAGAAATACGAAGTGGTGACGTTGGGGGTGCAATTGGATCAGCACCATCCTGGTGTCCCTGTGGTTCCTGCTGTACCTGGTGGAAATGGCTCCTGGGTTTGCTTCTAGCCTGGTTGTTTCTCCTTGGATTGCTCTTTGGACTCATTGCTCTGGGTAAGAAATAACTGAGGAACAAAATGTTGAATGGGATAGAAGGACAGAGGGTGTAAGCTGGCAAAGAGGCCAAGCACCAGAGATACCGAGGCAGAGAACTGAGGAGCACATTCAGCTTGATGGTGACTGCCACTAAGATATTACAAATGGACAGAAAGAATGGATGAGGAATATAAACCTTTGATGAGGGTTATCTAGTCTTGGGGTGAGCAGGATAGGAAAGGTCCTGAGATCTGAGGTCTTACAGCTCTGGGACTAAATTGGCGTTTAAACTTCAGATATCCCTTCTAGGGAAAAAAAGGCTACGAAGAACTCTGCAGAACTGGTTGGCCATAGCAATCTGACACAGTGTTGCCATGTCCCTGCTGATAGCAGAAGGTATTTCAGGCCTGCATATGTGGCAGAATATTCCATAGCATTTTCCTTTGACCTTCCAGCGGAAGAAGTGAGAAAGCTGAAATCTCGTGTGGAAGACCTGGAAAAAATCAATGGTGGCCTCCTGGCAATTAACCAAGGGAATTCAAAATTAGAAAAGGATGCTAGAATAGACTTTCTTCATGGTATCTCACCCTCCTCGACCTTCCCTTATGAAAATGAAGAGTCAGTCTGGTTGATGGTGAAGAGCAGACTGAACAAGGAAATGGAACGAGGTGAGCAAAGTCAATACCTGTGATGCTGCATGGGACCAAATGATTTCAAGGGGAAAGGGAGCATTTGCTTGCCCACGGGCCTGAAGATTAGAACTTTTTGAGTTCAATGAAGTCTGTCAAAAGTAGTCCCCTTACCTACCCTCAGAGACAGACTGTGCTGGATCTCAGGGTGCTGCCTCTAACATTGGTGGTGCATCCCTTAAATCCAGGAGAAAAGAGAGAAGAAAGAAAGTTGTAGACATGCCATCCTGGGCCAGGATGTTTGCTATAGCAAGTGTTTTCCATTTTGGAAGACCTATAGAGAAAAATGAATGCACACCTTTTTTCTCATGCTACTTCTGTTAGCAAGGGAAAGATGATTTGCTTCCATTTAGCAGAGGATGGAAAGAGGTTAACAAAAGACAAGCCTACATTCTCCCATCTTTCATGAATTTCATGAATTCATAAAAACAAATTTACTGAGGAAACTCAAAAAGCCATACTGTGCTGCCTGTAGCCTCAAAATCCAAATAGATGGATCCTTGTACATGAAATGAGTAGCTACTGTGTTGTGTAATGCACTCTAATAGCCCCTTCACTTCCTGTTACAGGCTACTTCCGAGGGGAGAAAGGAGAACGTGGTGAGAAAGGTACAGCCATATAGTCCTTCTCTTCCCCCGTCCAATTCCTTGGCTCTGGCAATGCACAAGTTTGGGGGGGATGTTGCCACAAGGGGCAAGTGGCAGTGAGGAAGATGAAGATGGTTTATACTTAAATAAAAGGAATCACAGAATTGTTTAGGTTGGAAAAGACCTCTAAGATCATGGAGTCCAACTGTAAACCTAACACTGCCAAGTCCACCAGTAGATCATCTCCCTAACTGCCACATCTACATGTCTCCAGGGACAGTGACTCAACCACTTCCCTGGGCAGCCTGTTCCAATGCTCCATAAGCCTTTTGGTGAAGAACTTTTTTGTAATATCCAATCTAAACCTCCCCTGGTGTGGCTTGAGGCCATTTCCTCTTGTCCTATTGCTTGTTACTTGGGAGAAGAGACCGACCCCCACTTCACTACAACATCTCTTCAGGGAGTTGTAGAGAGTGATAAGGTCTCCACGGAGACTCATTTTCTCCAGACTAACACCCCGAGCTCCCTTAACTGCTCCTCACAGGATGTGTGCTCCAACCCCTTCACCAGCTCTGTTACCCTTGTCTGGACTCACCCCAGCACCTCAATGTCCTTCTTGTAGTGAGGGGCCCAGAACTGGAGACAGCACTCGAGGTGCCTCACCAGTGCCAAGTACAGGGAGACGATCACTTCCCTGGTCCTGCTGAACTAAAGTTCGTTTTCCATGTAAACTGTAGAGTCTCTGATCCCATGCAAAGCAATATAGGAGGCCAAATCTTGCATCGTGCCAATGTGAAAGGCCAGGTTATGGTTGCCACTAGTGGGATGGGTTTGATCCTGCACTATTCAATTATGAAGTGTCCCTGTTCACCCTTAACTCCTTCATGTTTCATTGAAGGTGGGAAAGCAACTAGAAAACCAAAATGAATGAGTAGTCATAGGAGATATCTCCAGGATGTCTCCTGATTCAACTTTTTTTGCACTTTTCTCAGGTGACATGGGAGTGCAAGGTCCCAAAGGTGAGTCTGGAGTTCAATGCTTTCTCAGGTAGATTGGCAGCCTGCCATAAGGTCTGGGTAGCAAATGGATTTTTATTACTCCAGAAGTTGGAGAAGCTGATATTAGTTATCTGTTAGTTCAGATATTGTTGTGATGGTTGGGGTTTTTTTCTCTTCTTCTGGGAAAAGAAAATTTTAGAGTTAATAGTAGAAGAGAGAACAGATCTCACTTTGAATTTAGAACTTCTTTCACCTGGATGAAAGTCATTCCTGAAGCCAGGCTCTAGGTGGTTTAATCACAGCGTGAAGCACAGAGTGCTTCAGAGGATTTTGCATGGTGTGAATGATTCAGTTCTTTACATAAATATAAGGGAGACAAATTGGCATTGCTGGCGACAGTAAAACTTGTAAACATCCCAGGGACGTAAACTTCTTTTATGGAGGTGAGGGTCAGCCAAAGTGACAAACAGGGAAGACAATATTTCCCACTGACTGTTTATTTCTTTGTCTCTACAGGAGACCGAGGACTTCCTGGTGTTCCAGGTGAGCTATAGTACAATTCCCCTTTGAGGGAGGACATTTAGTGACATTACTGTAGGCAGGAACAAGTTTTGCACTGCAGATCTAGCTCAGGGTGGTTCTCTAAAGAGTCAATATTTAGCATAGACTGTATCACTTGATTGATATCTTGGTGCTGAGCTACAGACGCAGCTTAGAGACTTGGTTACAAGCAAGGCCTTGGCCAGACTTCCACTTAGTTGAACATGCTGAATTAGGGGTTGTGAAGATCCCCGTCTTCCACTGAAAGAGTCCTACAACTGCATAAGTGCTTAGCCCAATTTCCTTGTGCTTGTATGTATTGTGTTCTTCTAAAGACATCCCTGTTCAAGTGCCCATCTTCTGAGTAATGTATTCTTTACCTCAGCTGATTAAACCCTCCAGGCTTCAGGTTCTCCTAATTTGCATGTTATTCTTTCATGGTGCAGAGTCAAGAACTCTGAACATTTGTTGTGTTTTTCTTTCCAGGCATTCCTGGTCCAATTGGGCACCAAGGACCAGAAGGACCAAAAGGACAGAAAGGCAGCATGGGTAAGACTCTCTATCAATGCTGTGAGTCTTTCACAACTGATTGACAGTGGCATGGGAATACAGGCACCAGACTGGTGTGACAATTGCCTTCCCCAATGGAGGTGGCCATGGATCCTTTTGCCCAAGGCCTCCTGTAGACACCTTATTTTACATGACATTTGTTTCCTGTAGGTGAGCCTGGAATGGAAGGTCCCATGGGACAAAGAGGTCGAGAGGGTCTACCAGGGCCTCGAGGGGAGCCAGGACCACCTGGACTGGGAGAAAAAGGAGACAGAGGTAGGAACCAGGCGTCTCATTGCATAAAGCAGGGATGGACAAAAGCTAGAGTTTGCTCCCAATTTATAAAACACCTCAGTGGCAGAATTTGATTTCATTATTCCAATCCAGATTTCATGTCAGACATTTCCCAGCATAGATGAATATGGCCTAAAGAATTCTTTTTGCCAAACTTTTAATGGGTAAACGAGGGTTGTTTTGGTTTGCCAGGTCTGACAGTCAAGTTTGAGTTTGACAGAACCAAAAACTCTTTACTATCAAGATTGTCTTCTTCCCTGTTATCCCAGTCACCAAAGTTGGGGGACTTGTCTTGCTGAAGCCCAGGGAGCTCGTATCTTTTTCTTGAACAATGCGTACCTGTTTGGGTGTTTTGAACCGACCAGCAGATTATTCTGGACACTTACCAGAGAAAGAATAACAGGAGATGGGATAAGGAAAAAATGGGAGTACAATTATATTCTACTGTGACTGTTCATGCTCTTATTTTGCAGGTGCTATTGGTGAACCAGGTCCTCCTGGGCCTCCTGGACCCCCAGGTTCTGCTGGCCTAAAAGGTAAATAAGAAGATGGAGAGAGAGGACCTAGCAGAGTGGTTAGGAGTAAACAGGCACCCCAACTTTCCTGTTTCACTTGTGTTGCTCTGCAGTAACCAGAAAAGTGAACTAATGGTCTCAGTTTAGATAAAATTTACCTTAGTAGTTACACATAACCTTTAGAGTAATAAATTCTTGGAGATTTTTTATGAGAATAGGGAGTGGCAGGGAGGTTTCTCAAAACACCAGTCTTTAAGGTGTGTGATATTTCCAGCTGTTTTTTCTTTGCTTTCAGAAATAATAATGTAAACTCCATTTCCCTAACGAGCTTCTAAAAGAGTTACAGCTCTACATTCCATGTAACTGAGATAAAAATTGTACTATAAAAAATGGGTCCCACGTGAAGCACAGATCCCAGCATCTCAGTCAAGATGGAAGGATTGTGTCTCTTTACTTTAGGGAAAAACACTTCTTCAATGTCACAAAGAACTAAGTTCTGTAAATTCGTCCTGGTTTTGAGGATGCCAGTGATGCAAATTCTTCCACTGGCTGGGGAAATTCCAATCTGCTAAACACCTACTGGGTTATGGATGTTCTTGGGCAAACCAAAATAGATTTGTTCATTTTCTAATTGTGGTGTTACTGAAAGAAAATCCGTGTTCCTTGTTCACAGGTCTGATGGGTTCTCCAGGCCCACAAGGTCCTCCAGGTGAGTGCTGCATTCCTTTGCTATGGCATCTAGAGACTAGGGAAAACAAAAACAGAGTGACAGCTTCTCACAGTTTTTCTGCTTCAGTGATGAATTGTGGTGAGTGGGATGAATTAAAACCCCTGTGTCATTTTTGTGCAGGTCCTCCTGGCCTACAAGGATTTAGAGGAGAAGCAGGTCTCCCAGGTGCTAAAGGTAAGTTTCTCTTCCCCCTGCCACTTACAGCAGCACTGGCTGATGTGCTTTTCTGGCTCTGCTCTGAGTAGCAGGCTTGGTCTGATTTTGATGCTATGGGCAAAGAAAAGCATATGACTGAGGAAAAGGGAGGAGAAACCAAACTTAGTGATTGCAAGCAAATATTGAGAAATACAGGAGACACAGAAGTAATAGAGTAGTCTAGGTGAGGAAACACATTTGATGGATGGAGCTGTATTGAAGGAAAGGAATTTCAGTTTGAGTTTGTCTGCTATCAGAGAATCTGTATTCCCCCTGTGATTTTTCTTAATGCATGAAATTTCTTTCCCTTATGACTTATAATTACTATTCTTCAATCCTCAATGTATCTTTCAGGTGAGAAAGGAGCCAGTGGACCTCCTGGACCCAAAGGTATGCTGATCAATTTGTTATCTTTTGTGGTTATTTTCTTTAGATCCCTTTAGATATGGGTACTGTCCATGGGTACTAACCTTGTCCTTCTTTGGCCTTTTCTTCTGTGCTCTTGTCAGAAAGCAGACTTTATTTTCTCTGATGGAAACATTTTACAATGAAACAATATCACATAATCCTTCCCTTTTTCATATCACAGGTGATCAGGGAGAGAAGGGTTCTCGTGGAATGACAGGTCAGTAGATTGGAACACTGGAGTAACAGCCTATCTAATATACATGTGCATTATTTGAATTTTCAAAAAAAGTATAGTCCAGCCAATCCCAGTTAGCTTTCTGAAAAAGTATAATGATGTTACTGGTTGTAGGAGTTTTATTTTTACGCCCAAGTTATAAACAAATAGATCCCATTCTTGATTCCAGTAATCTTGGTAGCAATCTTTGTATTTAGCTTTAGGGAAATCCTCCCTCGCATGCCCTGTATTCACACATCTCTTGAGCTTTTCTAATGCCCAGAGACAGTCATGAATCATGAGTTCTGAACATCCTGTCAATACTGGTTTTCAGTTGCAAAGCAGCAAATATATCTGACAGTCATAAATTGTATCTTCACCAAGTTTTGTTTGAATCATTTTCATACTATTTTGCTACAGGTGAACAAGGCTCAAGAGGAATGCCTGGACCTCCAGGAGAGCCAGGGGCTAAAGGACCTGCAGGTGGGTAACAGAAAGCAGTTATATTTATATGTGAGGCAATGTCATTGCCACCCAGAGTGTGTTTCTGTGAGCACAGACGAGGAAACAACACGGGTGTGGAACCATACTGGTTTCTCTAGACAGCTCCCAGTAGTCTGTGCGCTCAGAAAAGGTGTCCTACGGTTAAGTTTTGCATGAATGTTTCCTGGATCTTCAGTAACTGCAGCCAAGGTTTCTTTCAGATGCCACATGATGAGAAGCCACTTTTGTGTTTAGGGCTGTGCTCCACTTAGGAGGAGCACAGGACAACTGTGGTACTTTTTCAGTAGTCTCTGACAATCTCTTTCCTTTGGACAGGACAAGCTGGCCGTGATGGACAGCCAGGTGAAAAAGGTAAGGGATTCCTTGGAGGTAGAAGTGCAGGTACTTTCTGACTTGGTAGGAGGTGGATTTATAAAACGGGTGGGAGAAGGATGACAGCAGATTCACCTTCTGGGATCTTGCTGTCTCAGAACTGTAGAGTCAACCATGTAAACATGGAACTGAGACATATAATGGAGCAGACTGTGAACTTGTGAGAGAGTTCTTCTCACTACAGAACTCTTCTGTCATTGATGTTCCCCTCCCAGACACTGCTGCTGGAAATGGCCAGGTGGCTGTGAGGATGCAATAGGTGGAAAGTGCTGCAGTACAGCTGGTGGCCAAGCTTGAATGGATTGGTAGATTGTAAGTCAGTGACTTCTGTCTTGTTAATGATTATTATATCTGTAGGTGAACCAGGTCTTATGGGAATGCCAGGTGTCCGAGGCCCTCCAGGACCCTCTGGAGATGCAGGAGAGCCAGGTAAAACATACAGAGAACAAAAATGCTTTTAGCTCAGTCAGGACCACAGATGTCTTTGTCAACAATTTCCAGTCTTAATTTGAATTTAAGACTGGCAGAGAATCTCTGTACTGTAAGATGGTGATGAAAGGAAAATACATGGGAATCTAAACCCTTCATGATCCCAGGATTGTACACACTGCAAACATCAACTGCTAAGAGCCAACCTTCAATTTACATACCAGTTGCTCAGTTTGCAGCACTTGTGAATTGTGTGCTATAATTTCATGTAAATGTATTTTTTTTGTCCCTGTCTATCTTTTTCACACCTGAAATTCGTTTAGACGCCTTAGAATTTTTGCCTTTTTCTGACAGGTCTCACAGGACCCCAAGGACCACCAGGTAGGCTTTTCCACTGTATTCCAATTTATCAATATTTATCCATATCATTTTGATATGGGCTCAAAAAACTCTTGTAGTTTTCCCTCTGGACTGCTCAGGGCTTCCAAAGTGATATCTCAAGGTTTCTGTATCTCCTTTGGCTTTTGAGAGGGGTTTTGTGGTTGGTGTATAGATTTTGAGCAATGTAGGGCCTTGGAGTGTTGAAAATTTGCCTCTCTCAAAACATAATTTTCAATGAATAACATGTTCCCTGTGCATCACTGAAAGATCCTTCTAATTAGCTGCAGAAACAGAAGGGAGAGTATGTAGCAAGAGAGGTGAAAACAGAGGATGTGACATCTGTAAGCAGTGGTGCTCTGGGGGGCAGTTCACCAGGGAATTTATCCAGGAGCCTCAGAACAGGTAGCAGTACCTGAAAGAAGCTACAGGTAAATCTAGGGAGCAATGTCATCATCTAGGGAGCAGTGAGAGCAGGGAAGCCCAGAGACACTACCACCTCAATCTGTTCCTCCACATGCTGTCAGGGACCTGCTCATAATGTTGAAAGCCAAAGTGTGGAATAGGGAGCTCTTATAAACCCACAGGTGAAACTCAACTAGGCCACCTGGAAGAAGTACAGCAAACAATATTTACACTAACTGTTTTAAATTGTTTGTCTACCTCATATCAGGACTTCCAGGCAACCCAGGCCGACCAGGGGCTAAAGGTGAGTTTTGTTTCTTCCCTAATGCTCCTTTTCATTTATTTTAGCGATGATTAGCTGCTCTGCTGACCAGTGCCTGGATCAACAGTGGCATCTAGTGGCTTTGGGAAGGGGAGGTTTGAGAAACACTGTAGCCATAGCTTCCTTGAGCATACAGGAAAGGCAGGGAGGGCATCTGCTGAGGGCTGAGTCATGACAGCTCTTCAATGAGAAAACCTTAGCACGCCTGGTTCTGCCCTGAGCCTGTGAGTGTGATGCCTGGTGGCTGCAAGGGAAGCTGTGTGCCTGCCTCAGATAAATCAAGGCCTATTGCCTATGCTGGCAGATATCATGCTTGCAAAGCTGATCAGAGGATATCTCTGGATTAGCTGAGCTCTCTTGCTTCCCCCATGACCTCCTAGTGCTGTGATTTCTCAGGCAAGAGATCAGAGGCAAAGAGAACAGAAATTACATGCTTAATAACATAATTTCATTGAGCTAGTTATAGATCTTCCCCAAAAAAGAAACTCATCTTTTGTCTCTTTGTTTTCCTAGGAGAACCTGGAGCTCCAGGAAAAGTCGTAAATGCTGGTATGTAGTGCTGTGTGAGTTCAAACACTTCTGTTTTTGGAGATTTTCTCTGGTTTTTGTTATGCATCCTCAGTTCCTCTCAACCATGTGTCAGACTTGTACTGAGGCTCCCTGAGTTGGGAGAATACATCTGTGATAGATGTGGGATTCCTTAAGCGTAGATTTGTTACACATTCACGGGATGTGTGCCTATAACTGTATGTGTGCAAATGTATGTGTTTGTTTTTCAGAGGGCTCATCAACTATTACCCTGCCAGGCCCACCAGGTCCCCCAGGCCCACCCGGCCCCACTGGACCTCCAGGTGTTCCAGGTGAGGAAGCTGCTCCCCTGCTGTGGTTTTTGCAGGCAGCTTACATTGCTGTGCATCCAGTTCTTATTTTAATGTATAACGTTCATAGTCTCTGCCAGACTGCCCTGTCTGGGAGGCAAGATGGCTCATGCAAGGCTCATGGTCCTCACCCTTCCCTGCAGAAAGACCAGGGTCAGGCTGAGTTAGGAAGGCAGCAGCCTCAAGGGAAAAATGGAATAAGATCACAGGGAAGAAGGACAGCAGGGAGGGACAAGAAGATGAAAAAACTGGGCACACCGTTTTTATCCTTTGATCTGATGAGTACAAAGTAGTGATATGTCAAATCCAGTGAGTAGAATCCAGCTCTTTTGCTGCTCAGGAAAGCAGGTTTGTGTCTGATCCCTTTCCTGGCACTGTTACTGAAATCAGGAAGTGCTTGTTTTCCAGCTTTCAACTCAAGACAGCAGAATTCCCTCATGCGCATCTGGAAATCTTTCATACACAGACACAGACACAGACATATTCTGGCCATGCATGAGCTCAGTCCTCAGATTCCTCTGTCCCTGGTCAGACACTGCCCTCCACATGCTGGTGTCAGGAAGCAGAGTTTCTTAGCCCTGGTTCTCAAGGCACTTCTGTGCCTCTTCAGCTCTATAGCTGGAGCTAATCCTGGTTTGGTAGAGCCAGTCTCAGTTTGCAACAAGAGGACACCTGTTGTATTTCTATTGTGGTCAGTGGCATTCTGCTTATTTCGCCAGTCTGAGAGGCACCAAGCACTTTAACTGTCTTCTCCAGACCTTCAAGTAATACATGGAACATTGATTCATTCATACCCCATAGCAATTTCATTTAGTTGTATAGGAAAGTACATTATTTGATAGTCTTACTTCTTATAAAAGGGTATTGATTCTTTCCTGCTACTGTAAAATACAACCAGGAAAACCTAACGAAACCTGTTGTTTTTTTCCTTTGAAACCAGGTCCTGTTGGCCCAGCTGGTCTCCCTGGACAGCAAGGTATCATTCTCCATTAGCTTTGATTATGCTTCTTAAGAGAACGTGATTCATTAGTTTTCCTTTGTTTCTAGTTCTCTCAGCCATTGGCACATTCCTTCTCCCTTTTGTTTGCAGATTTCTTCCTTTCAGTTCATTTTGCTGCATTATTTGGCTTAATTAATCTTGTAAAGAATTTCTATTGTTTTTTGTTTTCCCAGGGGAAGAAGGAGGGGGGTAAGAGGGTGGTAAGAGCCAGAGTACTTGTGGGTGCTGCAAATGTCTGTTTTTCCTTATGTTATTTTTTCCGAGGACTGGTATTTCTAAGGCACTTCTCAAGTGCAGTTGCCTCTCTGTGATAGGGGATATAGCCCAGCTGGATACCTCCTGCCATTTTGAAAGAGAGGAGAACAAACTAGAGCCCAATTGGGAATAATGTCACTGTGAAACCACTGCCAATTGGACAGACATCTGTTTGGAAGGGCCTGAACAGAGCTGACCCCTTAGAACCTCTCTTGGCTGGTTTTCTATGATTCTGTTAGAGCAAATTCTGCAGTAATTTCCACACTGGAATGCAATATCCCTCAGAGCTGCGGACTGCTCCCACTTCATATAAGTCTGAACCCATTGTCAGGGAGGTGAGGAGTGGGTACAAAATATCACCCTCTCTCAGTTACATAGTTCACTTTCTCATTTTCTTTTTTTTTCCTGAAAAAGGTCCACGGGGTGAGAAGGGATCCCCAGGTGAAGCTGTGGTAGAAACTATCAGAACAGAAGTCTCGTCATTAGCATCTCAAAGTAAGTGGCTCTGCCTTTCCAATCCTTTCCTTGGAGACATGTCAGAGCCTGAAGGCCTGCTCTCAGCTACCAGGAGATGCCCCTACCTCTTTCCCCTCAACATGACACAGGGCAAGTGTGTGTCTATGCTTGGTGGTGGGACTGCTCTTCTGCCCTCCTTCTCATCTGTGCATCTCAAAGTCATTTCAGAAGGAGGTAGGTAGCACCAGGCCCATGTCACAGAGAGGAAAGCTGAGGAATGGTGGCTGGTGGACAGCTGCTAACAGCAGAGATGGTCACAGATCTGAGAGGTTTCAGCCTGGCCTTTCAGCCACTGTGTTCACACAGGGCAGTTCCCTGTGCAAGATGAATGTGGAACCATCTGCAAGAGGAGAACCAGTTTGAAAAGGCACGTTAATCTGAGCAACAGAAATAATCTTTCTGCAAATTACAGGATGAATTCACAGGGGAGCAAATGCTATTTTAAGATGAAAATAAGTGGAGCAGAACAGAATGATTTAGCAACATCCCAAGAAGATTGCTTGTTCTGTGGAATACTAGACGTGTGATGCACTTTCAGTCAGTGTTCTTAGGGTCTGGGACCTCTGCAAATGTGCAGCAGAGGCAAGGTAAAAGAGGGCATACAATTATAAGTGATCCTTGCCTGATCACCATCTGAACGGGGCCATATAGATTCAGACCATGCTGCAATACTGTCCCGTTCCCCATTCAGGAGTCTTGGATCTCAGCATCACTAAACTTTGAGTCTGTGCCTCAACTGGGAGGTGAGGGTACATCTCACAGTACAATCAACATAACACAGTGCCACTATTTGTTAAATGATGTCTGCATTATGTTCTCCTCCCAAAACTTGCCTCTCTTTTGAATAGTCTTTCTTCTCCTTGAAAGTTCTTTCCCTCCTTCTCTGTCCTTTGAGTCCTTTGCTATTTCCCTCAGCAACCATTACTTTCCTCCCTGTGTCCAATATGCTGCCAACCTGCTCAGCACTCTCTTTTGCTTCATATCCTAACCTGCAGGCTGGCAACCAAACACATATATTCTCTGTCTTCTCTTCCTCAGCTTTTGCTTAGGTCACCCAGGTCCTGCCTTAGTCCACCTTTGATTGTAAGAACTTCTAACAGCAATCTATCAATAGAGTTTCCACAGCAGCAGTAGCTCCATAGCAACAATTTTCCCTTGTTTGTGTGTGTTTCTTTTGCACAGTGCTGGGAGATTTACAAGGGCGAGCAGGACCACCAGGTCCCCCTGGACCACCAGGTAGGTAATACAGCAGAGCTCAGTACTTAAGCAGGGGGATACTCACACATGTGGCACATTTCTGGGCCATGCAGTTTGCTGAGTAAATATTCTATAATATCCCTGTTTCTTTTGTCATCAGGTGAATCTGTGCAGGGACTCCCTGGACCTCGTGGTCCACCAGGTAAGAGCTTGTTCCTCTGAAACGGAACAGGAAAGTGGGAGGTTTTTCCAGTGCCTCTATTCTGTGCCTTTCAGTATCCCAGATCTTGTGCCTGGTGGAATTTAGTAGGCCTGACTTTACTAGAAGCAATATGTCCCATAGGGGGTTCCTACTAACACAGTTTCACTGCAGCAAGATGCCACCCAACAGAGGACATTTGCTTTGGCAGAGGTTTCCAGCCAGAGTAGTAATTCATAAAAGCCATACTTTTTGGAAAGACACCCAAAGTTTTCAAGTTCCCAAAGGAAGTAACTGCAATCAATTCCATATTTATTTCTTACTTGTCCAGCCTTAACTTCCAGCTGTGGACAGATGGGGAGGTTCTTATCATGAGGAACATATCCCCACTCCCCCTCCTGCATAGAGTTCCCTTCAACAACCAGAACAGGGGAGGTGCAGGAGGACATGAGACAGGAGCACAACCCCATTCTTTGCTCTCTGCTCAGTAGGAAAAAGGGGCAGGTCAGGTGTATGGACATTTCCTTTCACTGTAGTGAAGGCCAGCTGCAATAGGCACCCTGTACCACAAAGAAAAGAGTCTCTCTGTCTTTTGTCTGCTACAGTGGCAAATTATAATGACAATTAACTAACAGGGATAGATGTGTGTGGAGAAAATGATGATATGAGCATCCACTGGGAAATACTTGAGCTAAGGCCGTGGCTGGAGATGTAGCAGCTCTGACATACATTTACATACATTGCTGACGATCATCTTTCCTGAAGCCTTTTTGTGTCCCTTTTGCCAGGACCTCCAGGCCCACCAGGGAGACCAGGATCTTCCATGTCCACTTCAGGTAGGTTCTTATCACTCATTCCCTCACCTGTGCCCTGGGAATGTCCTGTTGGGTTTCCAGAGAGCACATACTTGGCTGGGACCAGGTGGAGCCAGAGAAACCTTGTGTCATGTTCTGTTGGGTGTCATGTTCTGTTGGATATCATGAAGAAATCTTTTTGTTTTAATTACAGAAGGATTCTTCACGGGCCCGCCAGGTCCACCAGGACCACCAGGCCCGAAGGGAGACCAAGGTGGGTGTATCCTGCTGCCTCACCAAAGTGCTAGATGGATCTCACCACCTTAGACTGAAAAGAAGGAAGGACGGGCTTGAGCGCAGGAAGCATCCTGCCTTTCTGTGGCTGTAACAAAGCTTAGCACAGTTGTCACTAAGTAGGGACTCCTGTCTGCCATAAAACAAGTCAGTCTTTTTCAGAGAAATTTGTTGGCCTCCAGTACTAGTGGCAAGGCAATCACTGTATTCCCATCCCAACTTTTCAAGCCCGTTAGATTCAAGAGCATTCAGAGCTTCAAATTTGCCGTTGAAGGGAAACAGTCTTTTTGCAAAATGTGCTGTGAACTAAGTCAGTGGAAGGAGGGGTCCCTGTGAATTGTAGCTCAGATCTCAGCTGGCAAGAAATCGTGGCACCCACTACCTTTACCCATTTCTTTCCTGCAAATTGAAGGCCAAGATAATAAGCTGCAGTGTGGGCTGGGATGTTGCAGATGAGAGTAAAGCAACTAATAACACTGTTCCTCTGCTCCCCTGTTTACAGGCGAACGAGGTCCACGAGGACTCACGGGTAAGGAGGTTTCCAGGAGGTGTCAGTGGGGTTCAGGGTAGGTTGCCTGTGTATATAACTGCTCCTTCATTTCTGTGTCCCACACAGGAGAACCAGGTGAACCTGGCCTTTCAGCATTCTCCTCCCATGGTTAGTCTGTGCCCCTATCCCCTTTTGAATTCATTGTCCCTAGGCTGAAACCAGGGGCAAGATTCTGCTCTATTGGTTCTAGCTTGGTTTTAGTGGAGCCAGGATTTTGTCCACTTTATTCCCGTGAATCTCTGACTCTCCTTCTGCAATTTCCAGGTGAAAGAGTCACCATACAGGGACCCCCAGGCCCACCAGGCCCACCTGGACCAAAAGGTGATGTTTAAAATCTTCTTTCTTTCTTTCTTTGCTGATGGCCTCACACAGCAAGCAAGGTTGAGATCTTACCAGAACCTAGTCCTTTGGTAACTACAGCTGTGCTCACCCTGCCTTTTCAGGCAGAGCAGGATTATGGCAATAGAATTGCTCTGAGCACAAGGCACTTGAGCAGATCACAGAAGGCGCAGGAAAGCTGCTGTAGCCTCTTTCTTATTCCCAACAAGCTGTTAATTCAAGTCATTACAAGGGCTGGGTAGTTGCTTCTCTGACAACATTTAGCTCAACTGTTTTACATGACCAAGCTATGTAACATGCAGTGACCCCCATTACAACTGTCTGTCTCCCTTCCCTCACTGTTTTCCAGGTGATGCAGGTGTCCCAGGCGCTCCCGGCATCCCAGGAGCATCTCGAGGTAAGAGGCCAGATGATCGTTAGTATTAACAAGGCTCTGATATTAACAGGGAATGCTGACATCCCGGTGGAGACTTTGAAAAAGCTCCTTTGACTTTTACCAGTGAGGTTGCCAATATAATGCTGATGGGATTTGTGTCCAAAACCTCTTTTTTGCACAGCTTTCCTTTAATCATAAAATTTAAGAATTGTTAGTTTTCTTTTTTCCAGCTTACTGGGAATCCTTTGAGCCAGAGTTTTTCCTCTGTGTGAGTAGGTTTTTGAACTGGTGCTGCCCAGGCTGACTGGGATTGGGAGCAGCGGGGCAGTGAGGTTAGACTAATGAGCTTGACTGCTTTATAATCTCCATCTGTATTCTGCACAGCATTGCACTGTGGTGCACAAACTGACCAGTTCTGCCCATTCAAAGGTCTCTGAACTCAGCCCTACAGAGCTGCATGGGCTGAGTTACAAGATGCTGGAATAATTGAAGACATTATACTTCCAAATAGCCCATGCACAGACTGTTTAGAGATGGAGGGAGAGCCCCTCCCTAGTCCATTTCCAAAGGTCTTTCCAGACATGTTGGAAGGGCTTGATGCAAATACACTTTAGCATCACTTGGTCTAATGCAACCATGCCAAAACCATTCCTTTTCCTTACAATGCTTTCTGTAGGAGGATCCAGGCAAATTCAGGGGCCCCCAGGACCTCCTGGGCCACCCGGTCCTCCTGGCCCAGGTGGAAGTTCATCTCAAGAGATTCAGCAGTATGTCACTGACTACCTGAAGAGTGAGTATAACAAGATTTTTGCTGTGGGTCAGCAATGCATGCCTATCACTCTTTTGCTCCCTGAGCTCTTGTCTCCCCTTTGGAAACAGCAGCCCTATTACTCTGGACGTAATTCTGTTGAATACTGTGAAATGCTGTTGCCCACTGTGGCCTCTGCAGAACTGTCCTTCTGTTTTCCTGTTCTTTGCCAGGTCCAGTAATTGTGCATATGGTCAGTCTTCCCTCTTACTGATGTGGGCATATCTTGGGCTTCCTACCTAGGTGACAGTGTAAGACATTATTTGACTGGTGCCCAGGGCCCACCAGGCCCTCCAGGCCCACCTGGAGTTATCACCACTGCAGATGGGATGACCCTGGATTATGCAGAGCTGGCTACCCGTGTTATGAGCTATATGACAAGTAAGCACCGTGTTGGTAAGCTCTATACTGAGCCATACTCTCAGCTAAGTTTGTACAGCACCTGGGAGGTGAGAACCAGAGGAGAAGCAACAGTCTTTAAATAGCAGCACCTCAACCATACTCATCTTCAGCAGTCTTGGCCCAGGATTCCACAGACCTGAGGTGTCCTCTGAGCCTGGTCCCATTTTAATGGTTAGATTAACTAGCAGTTGCTGCTGTTTAAATTGTCTCACCTTAAACATTTGCTGTTAGACCCTTTAACACCCCAAGACCCAGAGGTGCCTTTATTTTGTATATGCGGTCCCAAGTATTCTGGGGTTGTCTTGTAGACTTGGGGCTCTGCTAAAGTAAATGAAATTCCCAGAGCTTTTGGAAGTAGTCAGAGGACCACAGACCACACAGCTGTGGAGACAACCAGGATGTATGAGATAGCAACTGATTCATAGTTAAGGGCATGAGAAGCCCATTCTACCAGTTAAACTGGATTAATTCAGCTTTCCTTTGTCCCCTCCTGACCCCTCTTCAACTTCTGTCTCATCCTGATGTAAAACCTTTTCATTCCGACAGGCTCTTCAGGTCGCTATGAGTCATTTGCCAGCTCAGCATCAACTACATCCATTTTGTACCAAGAACTTCTGGACCTGCTGCAGCGTAAGTGACACTCAAGGGAAATGTGAGACTGGGGGTAAAGCATCCCATCATCCTGGAGATCTGTCTTTCCCTTCCAGTCTCCTGCCTCCAGCTGGAGTTACCTGCAGCTGCTTCAGAGGGCAATGGGCTGCCATAGGTGCTGCTGAGTGACCTGTGAAGTCTCCTTCCATGTTCTTTTGAGACAGATTTGTGTGTCTTGTATTGGAGAGTTCACCTGCTTTCCAGAAGCTTCCTCACCTTTGTTACACTTTTGCTTTTCATACCCACAGTTGGAACTCTGCAATTTCTTACTCTCTTACTCTCTCCCCTCCCTTCCCCTCCTTGTCTAAGTGGTATCTGCCTATGTCCTTCCTTTTCAGGAATTCCCACAATTTTCCCCAGGCTCCCTCCCACTAAACCTTGGTCACCCACTGAACATTTCCAGCTCCCCCACTCTCTTAGGGTTCCCCTCATTCCTTTTGCCCACCCCAAAGTCTTGCTATGTTATCGTCCTTAAGGTGAGGAAGATCCCCAGCTCTCTATTCTTTTCTCTACACACTGTTACTGTGGACTGATAGATAATCCTCCAGGATGTCATTTTGCTGTGCCTGAGGGTATTGATGATGCTGGCCAGCCCTGAGCTCCAAATGGCTACTGAAATGCCACACACCTCAGCATGGTCTTTTCCCAACTGAGCTGCTTTTTATTCCCTTTACCCAAGATGTTGTCCAGGGTGTCCCAAAGAAATAGAGCACAAAACAGTCCCTTTAGCAATCCAAATTCTCATCTGCCTCAAACCCTTGTTGTAGGAGATTCCCAGCTCTGCCACAAATGTTTCTGGCACCACGCACAGGACAGTTCACACTCAGAAAAGACTGGGGAAAAGGGCTTTGCATCCACAGGTTTGGTGCTCTCCCCAGTGGTGGGGGCTCAGCTCACAGGCTGGGAACTCTTCACACCTGGTGTCTGTGCAGCAGCTGGATGGCCTTAAAAGGTGCATTTTTTCATTTCTAGGAGAAGAAATTCGTCGGTATCTCATTGGACCTCAGGGCCCACCAGGACCTCCTGGACCAGGGGGAGATGGCACATCTCTGTCGCTGGATTATGATGAGCTGACCAGGCGGTTTATCAGCTACTTGTCAAGTAATGGTCTTTATTAGTGTGTGTTTCCCTCTGTTCCTTTGGGGGCTCAGCAGAAAGCTCCTGCTGTCAGTCAGTGAAAACAATTTGTGTTGACTGTGTGAATCCCACACAGTCAACATAGACCTCCTCATAGGGACTGTGAGAGACTTGGAAAAGAGCAAAGGTACCCTGTAGCTAAGATACTACCCACAGTCTCTAAGAAGGAGTTCTTGCTTTGTTAAAAATTGAGCTTAGGAACATAATTTCACCTTAGCCATCTTAGAAGTACCATCAACACCTTTAATTGCCTTTTATAACCCATTTCTTACTGGCTCTGTGGCCAGGATATATCTTCCTGTGAAAGAATTGGTCTGTGCCCGCTCAGGCAACAAATTCTTAGAAGTTTAAAGTTAGTCAAAGCAAATTCCATGTCTCTGCTTCATTTTCCCTTCTGTAGCGGGATGATATAGTATGTAAGAACTGTTGGACAGAGAGGACCTGGAGCATCCCCAGCAGCAGCACTGAAAAGCCTAATCCTGGTATCTGCTTAGGAGCACAGCCTGGTCTATGCTCAGTCTCTCTAAGAGCCCTTGAAGACCAGGTCTCACTAGTGGACTACTCCTGAGATGGAGGGAATTTCCTATTTGGGTCTGGAAGCAGGAAACTGCAGTTTAATGGCAGTTTACAGCTCAAGCAGGACAGCTGCATTTTGTCAGCACAGACATTTCATTAGAGCAAATCACAAAGTGCAGTGTGTTGCCTCAGAGCTGCAGACACAGGGAGAGCAGCACATGCATCAGTCTGCAGGTCACAGCTGAGCTGCAAGTCTGGGAGTGCCCCCATCATATCATGGGTTCATGAGGTGCAGAGCTTTTGCCAAGAACAGAGCCTGATCCCTGCCTGTCTGCAGGTGCCCTTATGTTGAGGTTGATGAGCAAGCTCTAACTCCAAGTCCAGAACAAGGCTTGATCTCTGGTTCCCAGCACAACCTGCTGATGAGAGCACTCCATGCTGCAGGAGTCCCTCCTGCATTGCCTGTGAACAAGCCTGGCAGCCTGTCTGCTCATACTCTTCTGATAATGTGGATCTGTTTGATTTTGCAGGTTCTGGGATGAGCATTGGACTTCCTGGACCACCTGGGCCTCCAGGGACTCCTGGTATATCCTACAGTGAGCTGACAGCATATCTGAGAAGTAAGTGAACTTCTTTGCTCCCCTGCTGTGGGTCCCTACACAGCCCTGGGATCTTTTTTTATAACCTTAGTCACAGAATTTCCCCTTTTGCCCATCATGACAAATATAATCCTGTATGAATAAAATCTGATGGCCCCTCATCCTTAGCAGCTCTGTAGACCTCTGGGCTCTGCCAGGACCTGCACACAACACAAGGGGCTGCAGCTGGATCGTTGTGTTCCTGTAGGGAGCAGCAGAGACGATATCTTAGGAATGGGCATGGAGGAGCCCTTTGTTGTATCCACACTCTGCAGCATAAAGGTGTAATTTCTTACGCAGCTCTTTAAAAGTATATTTAAAGAGGGACTTCTGCTCTCTCTGGAATCTCCTGACTTTCCAATGTGATGTCTACACACAGGGAAGTGAGATGCCCCAGGAAGGCTGCACCAGAAGGTGCTGGGGAGAAAAAAGTGCCTTATACTTGGCTGTATTTGGCATTACCTGTATTGTCAAGGAACATTCATCAGGGTTGTGGTTGTTTGGGTGACTTCTTTTCTTATCTTGTGTCTTACAGACTCTGAATTCAGTGGATTTGTTGGGCCCCCTGGTCCTGCAGGGCCCCCAGGACCTCCAGGGATCCCTGGAACACCAGGCACCACTTTGGAGGATGTCTCTGCCTACCTACAAAGTAAAGCACTTGTGTTTCTCACAGAGATTCTGTTTGTAGGTGGTTGGGGAACTGAGGCTGAGATTTAGCTTATGAGGGGTGAGACTACCCACTGAGAACAAAGTCACTTTAAAGAAAAAAATCTCATCATTATCGTCTGTAAAGGAATGGAAGTTGGGGTTGGAGACATTCAAGATCCCCAGACGTGCGATTTCCTTGTCTTCTTGCTGATGAAAAATAATTCTTTCTCTCTCTCAAGATGTGGGATACTCTTCCCATTCTGGAGTCCGGGGCCCCCCTGGTCCTCCTGGCCCTCCAGGACCCCCAGGCTTCTCAGGAACTGGCCTTTTGTCCTATGCTGACATCACCCACAGCGATGAGTTCAGGAGTGAGCTGATCCAGTACCTGAAGAGTAAGGAGACACCATCCATCCTTCCTGCACACATTCCAAGCCATGCTTTGCCCCATGTAGGTGCTCTCTGCCACAGCTGAGGCATTCCTGTAGGAGTCTTCCCTGAACTGGGGCTGCAGAAACACCTTACCTCTACAGCCAGGTCTGTGCAGGACTGTGCTGCATCCTGCAGGGTTGTCTCCTCTCAGTCCAACTGCCTGTCCAAGGTCCATGTTGTGACACAACAGGGACAGGCACTGGGCACTTAAAATTGGCCTGTGCTGAACAGCAAGTCCCCAGTAAGGACACTGGAAGAGTTTTGCCATGGGAAAAGCATTTTCTTTGGCAAGCACCTGCCCCCAGAGCAATGGATGATTCAGGGGTTGGAAGGCAGCACTGAGGCAGCTGTGAAGCAGCTTTGGTCTGAGCTCATCCTGCCAAGTCATCCAGGGCAATCTTTCAAAAACATGAGGCTCCCCTCACTTTTGGGAGACTGGTCACAGAATGGCTGTTTTGTCAGAGGTGCTGAAATTAGCCTGGGAGGAGTGCACCCTTGTGCAAAGTCAGTGGGCATATTCCCAAGACTGGGCACACAAAACTGTGGGAGAGATGGGAAGGAGGAGGGTGCCACCTGTAGAGATCAAAATTGAAGTACTTGCCTGCTGCCTGAGAAGTGGCACTTGATGAGGGTTGGTGGGACAGAATTTCACTCAGGTGGTAGCACAAGACCTTTGCCAAGCCCAGTGTCCCTGAAGTTCTCCCCTTGTATTTTGCAGGTGATGAAGTTCGAAGCTACATCTCAGGGCCACCTGGGCCCCCTGGGCCACGGGGACCACCAGGACCCAAAGGAGACAGTGGCTTCATGGCTGGGTCTCTGTCTTCATCCTACCAAGGGTTACGGACTTCTGAGCGCTCGCATGGAGGATCCCTTGGTGCTGAGGGCTCCCACGGGGGGTCACTGGGCTCAGGCAGCTCATATGGCAGCTCCATGAGCAGGATGTCCTCTTACTCAGTGGGCAGTGATGGCACTTACGGTGCCTCCATGGGTGCTGATGGGACTTACGATGGGTTGCTGACAGAGGAGGAATCCCACAGCAGATCAGCAGGTTCGAGCAGATCCTACAGCAACTCCTTCTCTGGTTCCCTGGATTACAATGAGCTGGCACTCCGTGTGTCAGAGAGCCTACAGAGTGAGTGAAAAGCCTGCTTGTCCTGACCCTCCCTGTCCCAGCCTACAACTCCTAACTCCCTGTGCCTGCTGTCATGCTGGTCACTTCCCTTCCTGCTGCCTACCGCTCTCCCTTACACCTTCCTGCCTCAGCATCCAGCCACAGTTCTCCTAGAGCTCCTTTCAAATGCAATCTTTAATTCCTCAGGCCGAGGTATTCTTCAGGACCTGATGTCTTACACTGCACAGGGACCTGCAGGTCCCCCAGGCCCTCCTGGTCCCCCTGGCATCAGCAGGGTCTTTGCAGCCTATGGCAATGTCACTGAGGACCTCATGGACTTCTTTAGAAGTAAGTGACATTGACTTGCCATTTCTGGCTCGTGCATATGAGATCTCCCCAAACTCTCACAGACCTAATGATCTTTTCACCTTTGCACATTGCAAAAGCCAAGGTACACCACTAGAGGTGGATGGTCTTTCAATCTCCTTCCTCCCTTGCTGGGGAGGTGCAGTCTTATCATTAGGAAGGACATCAGTTTTTCCCACTATTTGTAAGAAACTCATCCCAAACCCTGAATGTCTCCGGGCTTGCAATCTGTGTGGCCCATTTTAACATGGCTGGGCTGGCACACATACAAATACATGAGTCAACTGCTCACTCTGCTCTCAGATTCCTTGCCCTGAGCACAGGCCAGCTCCAGCCCTGGTGACAGCCAGGACACCCAGACAGCGTGGCAGAGCAGGGCTGGTGAAATGCCATCACAGCCTATCCCTGGAACTTTGCTGGGACCAAAACCATTTTTGAAAAACTTTCTCTGTCAGTCTCATCCCATCTAACTGAGAGGAATGACCTTCCACGGTGACCCACTGCTTCTCTGAGTAAGCACAGTGGTTTGACCCTCTTATTCATCCTCTCCTTCATTTCCCTCTCCAGCATATGGTGCCATCCAGGGGCCACCTGGTGAAAAGGGAGAGAGGGGTTATCCTGGACCCAAAGGTAAGGTTTGCCATCCTTTCCCTCTTTAGCCCTGTGAGGCCCAGGAAGCAGCACTGTGACAACAGAGGTAGTTGGCACAGCACTGCTCAAGGTCACACCTTCCTACAGTGAAGGTGGCACCTTCAGGATCTCAGCCAAAACATTGTCCTGCCTTGGCCTCCCTTACCCTGGTCTGTCCCTGTCCATGAGCTGCTTGTGCTCAAGGGCAAACTTGGTCTTCTCATCCCTTCAGGTGACCCTGGGCCAATGGGCCCACCAGGACGACAAGGGCACAGGGGACCGAAAGGAGAGAAGGGAGAGAAAGGTATGAACACCTGCCATCCCCAGGAGAGCAGGGTTTGCCTGTCAGGGAGTGAAGGATTCCCCAGGCACCAGCCCATCACTGGGAATAGCTGGAAAACAGTTTTGGATCTTTTGTCTTCCTACATGAACTTTTCCAATAACTCCTTTTTACTTTATTGTCTCTAGGTGAACAAGTGTATGTTGGCAGAAGAAAAAGAAGAAGTGTTGGGGTTTAAGGAAAGAGGCAGCTCAGTTCTGCACAGGGCAGCAATCCCAGCAGCCTGTAGAGAATTAGCCTGAGTCTTCACTGCCTTAATGCTAAAAAGTCCTTGCCACTCAGCAGACCCCTTAGACTTGATAGTTCAGTGTTGCTGCAGAGATCTGAATGTCTCCTGTACATGTCCAGCATGGCCCCACTGTGGGTGTTTGCTCTTCTTACTGATGTTTGGCTGCCTGACCCTGAGCTCCCAGGCTGACAAGGCCTTCCTGTCTCACCTAGTCCAGGCTTCTTGTATTACTCCCAGCTATGTACAAACCTGTTTTTTTTAACAAGTAGCCAACTATCCAGCAAAAAGAAAAAAAAGAAAGCAATTCCACCCCCATCAAATGCTGTGCTTTGTCAGGGATCAGATGCAGGATCAGCCCACAGGATACAAGATGCTGCAAGATACCCTGGGACTGAGCTTGCACCGCACTGGGATTCCCTCTCCACAAACCCTGCTGGCCCTAAGTGGGAGGCAGCAGCACAGCAAGACAGGACATGCACAGGGACCAAACAGAAGCACTTTTAAAAGTAATTTGTTTATCTTTTTAAAAATATTTTTGTATTTTTTTCTGGTTTTCTAAACATTGGGGAAACATAATTTTAATGTAAACAGCCCAATTAAAGTGTGTTTTTAAGCCAATCCCTGAACTACTCAGGACCAGCTTTCTGTGCTTGCAGGTTGTGTTGTGGGGTAGGGTGAGGCACCTGAGAGGGGTCTGAGGTACAGTGGTAAAATACAATGGCACAATGTTAAATACTTTTTACACTCAGTTATTTTAAAAATTCTAAATTGTCCCCTTCACTCCAACATCACTTGTATTTCATGCAAGTTTTCCATCAACAAAACAGAGACAATCTCAGCAAACTGTGATTTTTATTGTATTTACAGCAGAATTATTACAGTATTCTACAGAAAGCCATGAAATCAATTACTTTTAAAAACAAGACCAAAAAAAACCCAAACCAAAATCATTGTATGGCTGCTACTGCAAGTTCACTTCCACGAGCTGTACAGAAACCCTTAGCCAATTATTCAAACATCTCATGATTTTTGGTTGCTTTCTGTAAGGCAAAAGTAACTTGTTCTGCAGTTAACACAAAACATTCAATGAACTGCTGGGAGAACGCGAGGCCGGCGGTGCCTCAGTGGATGTGCTTTGTCACAGGACTGTGACAGGACTCCCGCTCTGCTTGGCTTGCTGACAGAACATGTGGGTGACAGCTCAATGTTAGATTTCACTCCATGTCCCTTTCTAGTTTCTGTTCTTTCCACCATTTTAGGACTGATACTGTAAAAGAAGCCTTACCACTTGGTTTGGTAATTGGGGAAGAGATTTTGGAAAATCAGGGTAACTTTGGGCTCGGCCACTCCCTTTTGCTTTCGGTACAATGGAAGCACATGAGCCTTTAGTGATGAGTTGGGTTAGAGAGTGTTTGTATTCAAGGGGTTGTTCTTCTCTGGCACCACTGACTGCCCCAATGCCAGATGTGCAAAGGAGCTACAAAAATGAAGCACAAGAATTGAGGTGGGAGAAAGGGGGTGGAAAACAACTAAAAGTTCTGTAAAAGAGAAACACTGTAGAGTTTTCTTTTGTCTTCTCCCCTTTATCTGTTCTCATCTTTTGTAAGACTGAGAAACAATGGGGCATCCTGGCCTTGGCTTGCCTGTGAACAAGGAAGGTTATTTCTCTCTGACCTTATTTCAACTGCTGTGAAGATGGCAGAAGTAGTCTGAGAATGGGAAATGTGCACAGACACATCAAAGCAAGGGAGTTTTGGAGATCAAGAAGTGCAGGTTTTGACATAAAATGACAAGAATATAAATGTTAACATAGAAGGCAGAGAACTTATCTACACAGTGACTGCCCTAAACACTCCTCCCTCCCCTTCCTCCAACAACCAGAGTCACTGTCCTCAAAAACTTGCCCTGCTTTCCCAGCTGAACCAAGAAACAGGAGTTCAGTGGAAGCAGCCAGCACTGAGCTTATTTGCGCATTTCAATTTCCAGCAAGATGAGTGTTTGAGGTCCTGGGAGCTGCAGCTGCACAGCAGCTCTGAAAATCAAGCTGCCTAAAAGTGGACTTGAGTGCCTGAATTTAAAACACCTTATTCAAATCTTTCCTATACCAAAGCATCCTTGAAATACTTGCAAGACAGATACTGTTTCAGCTGAAGAACCAACTTAAACTTCCAGCGTGATTTTGCTGTCACAAAAGACATGGTGTGATGAAAGAAATTTCTTTGCTGCTTTGCTTGGCTGCATCTTAGTTAAGGTGCTACATTTCTTATTTATTAAGAAAAATAATTCAGTAGCATGGAGTTGTCATAAAGTCCTCTGGGACAGAAGAATAATTTTTTAAACTGTGTGACTGATTAGATAGTGAACACCCATGAATGTAATTTTAAAAGGGGTATTAGCTGAAAAGATTATCTGGAAAAAAGGATGCAGCTCAACTGGAATTTAACAGTATTTTAACAGTATTTTAACTGATGTGAAAAATCACTGTGAGTGAATGCCACCAGTCAGGACAGCAGCCCTGCCACCTTGGAATTGGAATTCAGGTGTCAATTCAAATAAAGGTTTTCCTTCAGAAGGCATTTATAAATCAGGATCCATCTAATCAATCATAAGACTAACAACCTCAATATCATATCTTTACATACCATACACGCTTCTTGTGCATTCAGCAGAGACAGCAGAGCGCTTGGAGAAGGAAAATTTGTTTTATGGGAATCAGAGAGGATCAAATGTTGGAGTATTTCTCCCTTATTGAAGTAAACAGCAAAATTCCCCTGGGACACCGGGAGGCCAAGGCCTGAGCCAGACCATTCCCCCCAGGACTGGTAACCTCTCCTCAGCCAGCCCCAGTCAGGAGAGATGTAGAGTCTCCTAAAATCAGGGGCACAGAAGCCCCCAGAGCTCCCTGGGCTACCGGCAGCACTGCGTTAGCCAAGGACTGGAGAGCCTGCACACAGCGAGTTCCAGGAACTCAGGACGTGAGCAGAGCCAGGGGCTCTGTCCTTACAAGGCCCTTTCCCATAAAAGCTGACTTAGCAGATGCCCAAATCTGCTTTCAGAGCTCAGGAAGCACATGTGAAGTCTGACCCCATCAGAGGCCAGGGGCCTGCAGGCAGGTTTTCTGTGAGGATCAGCTGTAAATACAGGAGGACAATCCATACACTGACTGCAATCCAAACACTTATTGCCTTTGCTCGTTTTCCTGTGGACAGTGTTTATGATGTAGTAAAACACAAAAGGTGAGAAAATACTGATTTGTGGCCAGCTTTGCAAGAGCATGTGGGGACAATAAGATCTGCCAAACACTCAGTAAGAAAGCACATTGTTTTGGCTGTGGAAAACACATCTAACTACCCTGGAGATGGAGCTGCTAACATTCATTAAAGGGAGGTGACATGAGACAGTACAGAGATTGGATTTTGTATCTCAGGAGATCTCTTTTGGGCCTATATGAGACTAAATTAATTTGAATTGAATTTTCCAACACTGATATAATATTGTAACACCTCTTTCATGTTCTGCAACACTTATATCCAATTTTATCAGTCTAAGTGTATAAGTACCCATGCTAGTTCCTGTTATCACACATAAAACATATTTTTCATGCTTGATATCAATTCTCAGCACAGTTCACAAGGCTGCAACTACTTCACAGTGCTCCCCACCTGAAGAGATGAGCAAGGTTTCCATCACCACATCTGATCTCTCCCTTCATCACACAGCTCAGTTACAGTTATTTGTGCAATTTACAATGAGATCAGATTGCAGGGGCCTATGTGAAAAGGATCTTCAAATAAAAGATGTAGGAGATTTAGACAAAGGTAAACAAAATGCCAATATACATTAGCAAGTTATCACTGAAACTACCAAAAACGTAAGGAGAAGATTATTAACGTAGTGTAGTGATAGGACAAGGAGCACTGGGTACAAATTGCAAGAGGGGGAATTTAGGATAGATATCAGGAAGAAATTTTTTACTGTGAGGGTGATGAGGCCCTGGAACAGGTTTCCCAGGGAGGCTGTGGATGCCCCAACCCTGAAAGTGTTCAAGGCCAGGCTGGCCTTGAGCAACCTGGTCTAGTGGAGGGGGGTGGGGGTTGGGACTAGATGATCTTTAAGGTCCATTCCAACCCCTTAACATTCTGTGATTCTGTGATTTCCCTCTGAGGAAAATCTGCCTGCCCTGCCTACTCCTTGAGTAAAGCACTGAGCCTACGTCATACGAAACTGCAAACAAATTCTGCTAAATAGAAATTAAGATTATTTAATGTTATCTCAGTAACAGTCAATTTATGAAGGTGGAGCTTAAAAAACAAAAGTTCTTCAAAGACTTTTTTTCTCCCTAATGAACAAACAATTCAAAGAACTTTGCATTTAGCAACAGAGAACATTCTAGAGATATGGTGTGTGAATTTACAACAGTACACAATACACATTTATAATAATAAAATGCCAGAAATTAAGGCTAGCTATTAAAGTAATTATGCTATCAAAAAGTTATAAAATTTAAATTAAAACATGCATTTTCCAATTAATTTTTTTCTGTGCTGTAAATTAAGTGTCTTCATTGAGAAGGTATCGGTTCAACGTCCAAGGATTTCATCATCCAAGGTTTCGACCACAGCTGATTATAAAGTCCTATGTTAATTTATGAGCTCATTGACATGCAGCAACAGTTCCCATGAAATGAACGTCGTGTAATGGTCACCAGCCACACGTTCAATGCAAGAGAGCAAAACAAAACGGTTGCAGTTGATGCCCGAAGAGACATGAGGAAGTCAGGCCTCAAACAACAGAAAGCAAACACTATTTTACAAATGGAACTCCAGCATACCCAAGTACAGCCTTTAATATTGTGTCTTGATATGACTCAACCTCTAACCACCAGAAGGAGTGCAGCAAAAATTGATCTAACACAGCTGTATTTCCCTACCCGCTACATGAGAAACATTTCAGATTTTCCACTGCAGATCAGTCAGGTAAATAACTTATTGTACATCTATGAACTTAAAAAATAAAACCTGCCTATGTTAGTAGGTGGCAACACAAAAGCAAAACACCCAGCTTCATAGAGGAGTTTGTCTATATATTTAACTTAAATCTTTCCACAAAA